CACACACACACACACACACACACAAAGAGTAGTAGTTCCATCATCAACAATGGCTTTGAGAAACATGGAAAACATCCACAGTTCATTCTAATATTTATAATGTTAAAATGTCAACAAAAAGCATGAAAACCATCCACAATCAAGTCTTCAAGACCTGGGCAGTACATTTCCATGTTTCAAGAGGCAAAGAACTAATAATTTGTCCTTGTGGCTAGAATGAGGGAGTTGTAGGTTTCCGTGCACACATATACATATACATAAAAGATGGTGTATGTGGCTTAAATGCAGTGATGTAGGCCAGGTAGCATACTTTCCTTGAATCATAGAGTTAAAAGTATGAATAAGGTGTACGGAAAAACTGCAGGGTTCAGGCTGAGACCTTTGGTCATGAGAGCGTAGATTAAATAGGCTAGGACTTGACTCTTAAAAGGGTAGAGTATCTTTCAATCTCAGAATTGAGAAAACAGAGGACATATAATTTAGAAAGTTAAAAGATAATAGTATCAATATTTTTTAAATTAAAAGAACCTATAGCCAATGTTTTATATCCTTGTAATGCTTAGGAGTTACATTATAATTATAGTTCAATGTCAATTTAAAACATCTAATCAAGTAGTTAACTTATATTTACAGTTTATAATGCAATTTTTTATTAACTTTATACACAGTATTATAATACTCAAAGGACTTAGGGTTCCAAATATTCATATGCTTAATTTGTCAGATTTATATGAATTACATTGGAAGTTTTGCCAATCAAGCAATCAAATTACTCTAGAGGGAAATAAAATATACTAAACTTACAAGTGCATTTCAGGATATGTGCAAGTGATGAATTCCCTGGGCTTTCAACAGAGTCAAATCTGATTCAGAGACCATGACAGTGACCACTGAATAATGCTTTGCAAGAGAGATTTGAAATGGAATGTGAGCTCAAGGGTGAATGAGCTTAGATAGAACCGATGGGATGAATTAAGTCACACCAACTTCTAAGAATGAAATAAATGTCTAAAGAGTCTTTTCTATATATGATAGCCATCTTTGTGTGAAATAAAACCTCTGAGCACTTTGCCCAGAGAGGAGACAGGCCTGCAGAGGTGTGGAAATGGCTGGTGATGGAATCCTCAATCAGTTGGCAGTTGTAACAGAGGTAGAGGCTGCCCAAAGACACTGCCACTCTGCTTTCCTGCACCGGAGGAAGCTGATGCTCCCTGGGTTCTGTGCTAACATGTCACTTGATTAATTACCCTCCTTCCTGGAAGCATATCCTTAAGGCCATTGTTGTTAACTGTCCTGAGAAGTAGGTCCTTCCTCCCGCCTTCCCTCCCTTCCGTTCTCTATTTCTTTCTTTTAGTGGATAATGATTAAAAAAACAACAACAGTTGTGGTGGGTGAGACTGTTTCTCTCCTTCCCTACAAAGTCCCTGTTGAGTTATAACACAATCAGCTCTCTAAATTCTGTCATATGTTTATTAAACAAGAATTATTATCTCTAGAGTCCTACCAGATGTTTATCAAGCAATTTCCATTTTTAAGTAGACCCCCGAAGAGTCTATGCACTCTATCTTTTAATGTGAGTTGACTGTGCTGTCAGGAAGACATTGCAAGTGGCAGGTGTGAGTATATTTTAGTGACAGAAATCTAGAACTCTGTGGAACAGCTTGCTTCCAAAGCCAACAGAACTCTCAAAAGGACACCAGCTTAGACTTCTGAGGTAGTTTAGCAGAATCTAACAAAATGCTTTTTTTAAAAAAAAAAATGCCCGAGAGAGACAGGCCTGAGCTGTCCCCTGACACTGGCTTGGAAATGGCACAAAATCCCTTTGGCCTTTCACTTTCTATTGTGAAGGTTGTAGTAAGAACAAGAGCAAATGATGTGTATAGTGTCCCATAGCAAAACGCGTTAAACGTAAACAGTCGCTGTAGTTTTGTGTGGTTCTAGATGGCGAGGAGTGGGAATCAGAACTAGGAAAGAGCACGTTCAGAGACAACGCAAGAACTCCTTCCAGGTCCTAGGAACACTTTAAAGAAGATGGAAACTTTGATGTAGAGGGTCTCTCTACAACACACAGATTCTGGAATGCTGGCTCATTTCCTGCCCTTCTGTTGCGATTTGGATTCTGATTATTCATTTCCCTTCACAGGAGGGGCCTGCAGCCCCATCAGTTCATAGGTTGAATGTATTGGTTCTATACAAATTGCCTGCTCTTCAGCTGGGTTTTCTCCCAAACACCACTCAGAAGTACCCCTGTGTCTCCCTTTCTGCCAGCAGCAGTGTGAGTGGCCTTGTGTTTTCCTTTATCAGGGAAGTGCGTAGACGTTTACCAGTGTGCAAACTCACAGCCCAGCTAGACAGAGCTTCCCACAAAGCCCACCTGGTATTTAGTCTAGAGAGGTCTCCGATGAAGCAATGGTACTTGCTGTGGGGTTAAAGCATCCCTAAGCAGCCCGTTGAGCTTTCTGCCTTTGGTTTCTTTATGCTGTCTGACTCTTACACAGTCTTTGCATGTCTCCCTCTTCCTCCATTATTTTCTTCTAACGAGAGGGCCACACCCTGCTCAGTACTCACAAGATTCTTGCTATAAGACAGCTATCCAGAAGGTATCATTTCCTGAGTCCTCATAGACCCAAATCCTGTCTGGACCCTGTCTCTGACTCACCTTGACATTCTACTCATCCTAAAAACTTCTCCCAGAATTCCCCAACACCCAGCTCTGTGAAAATTCCCTGAACACCCAACTGTTAGTTTTACTATAACTTTTAACAGATTACAATCAATTTTTAACCAGCTCATGCCTCCCATGCCCATTGGTCACACATGAAGAGACAGAGGAATCCCTCTGATCTTGATAGATGGAAAAATAGTAAAAATGATGTGAGTGATCCGTGCTTGAAAATTCACTAATTCCATAGTGCATGTAGGGGCAACGAGGCTGGATTTCTCACCTTCAAAATCCCACGCCAGTGAAGTGTCCTGGAGCTAGATCTTGATACTCAGTCCACTGATACCAATGTAACTTGGTTTTTAAAAACATGGGGGCAGCAGTTTAATGGTATATGAAAGAAAACTTACAGAAACATAAGGCTTTTTTTGGCACTGAGGCATACCACGGAATCTTCTGTTGTGGGATATTCCAAGGACATTCGATGTTTCCTGTCTCTGGCTTCCATTATTCCTTCTATTTTGAGGTATTTGTGGATTCACACATAATCATAAGAACGTGCAGAGATTTCATTTGGCTTTTATCCAGTTTTCCAGGTGATGTCGCCTGGTAAAAGGGCAGCGCAGTGCCACAGGAGGACACTGCCTGATATTGTCAGGACGCCGCAGAGCATGTCTGCCAAGCAAAGAGGCTTCCAGGTGTTCCTTCCCTTCCCTGGTGACACCCACTAACCTGTTCTTCGTTCATTACTTCTTGTCATTTCCGAAAAAAAAAAAATTGTGCACATGAATTACATACTAATCATCTGGGATTGGCCTTTTCCCTACCAGGCATAATTCTCTGGAGGTTTATCCAAGTTTTTGGCTATAACAATAACACATTCCTTCTTATTGTCACCCGGTGGGAGTACAAATCCATAGATTTGTCCATTCTAAATACTTAACATAGTGTGTCCCTCCATCTTTAAATATTCTTTCCCTATAATCAGTATGCTTTTTTTTTCTTTTTTTGCTTTGTTGCTCTGGCTAAAACTTTTAGCACTATGTTGAATAAGAAGGGAGAAAACAGAATTCTTACCTTCTTCCCAGACAGAAGAGTAAACAATTCAGCTTTTTAACCATTAAGCTTAATGTTAGCCA